GTCCTGTCAAAAGTTTCCTTTATCCTTCCAACTCATGCCTCACTACCACTGTCCCCAACCCCAGGGAACCACTGATCTGCTTTCTGTCATTATAGTCTAGTTTTTTCTTTCTAGAATTTTATATAAATGGGACAGCACAGAATGTACTCTTTTTTCGCCTGTCTGCTTATACTCAGCATAATTATTTCGAGACTCATCCATGTTGTTGTGTGTATCAGAGATTCATTCCTTTCGGGTACTGAGTAATATTTCATTACATAAATATACTACAACTTCTTTAACTGTTCTCCTGTGATGGACATTTGAGTTGTTTCCAATTTGGGGATATTACAAATAAAGTTCCTACAAAGATCCATATACAAGTCTGTGCATGGAAATCTGCTTTTTTTCTCTCTCTCTCTCCGGTGAATAGCCAAGTGGGATGACTGAGTCATATGGTAGGTGTAGTTTACCTTTTTAAGAAAAATAGTTTTCCAAAGTGGTTGTAGCATGTTCCATTTCCACCAGCAGCGTATGAAAGTTTCAGGTGCTTCACATCCTTGCCGGTGCTCGACAGGGTCAGTCCTTCTCACTTCAGCCATCCTAGTAAGCGCGTAGCGGTATCTCACTGTGGTTTTAATTTGCATTTCCTTAATGACTAATCATTTCAATCATCTTTTCCTGTCCTATGTATCTTCTTTGGTGAAGTGTGTGTTCAAATCTTTTGTCCAGCTTTTATTGGGTTGTTTTGTTATTATTGAGTACTGAGAGTTCTTTATGTATTGATATAAGCCCTTTATGAGATATGTGACTTACAGATATGTTTGCCCAGTTTATGACATGTCTTTTCATTTTCTTAAGAGGGTCTTTTGTACATTTTTAAAAAATATATCTTTATTGACTTCAGAGAGAGGAAGGGAGAGGGAGAGAGAGCTGATGAGAGAGTCATTGATCCGCTGCCTCCTGCTTGCCCCCAACTGGGGATGGAGCCCGCAACCCGGGCATGTGCCCTGACCGGGAATCGAACCTCGATCTCCTGGATCCTAGGTCGACGCTCAACCGCTGAGCCACGCCCGGTCGGGCTTAAGAGGGTCTTTTGAAGTGAGCTCCATTTTTTCTTGTTCCTAAATTAATTGTTGGGGATATAATTTAAATAATGCATTTTGGGTTTCCCAAGAATACCCTACTCAGAGAATTATAAAGCAGAACAGGAATTTTGAAACAGAATGTCAACTGAAGCAGAATTTGTTGATTTGGTGGTAACTGTTGGACGTGAACAAGCCTCTGGGGTGCTCCCCGTCAGTCAGTTAACCAGGTAAGTAGTTAACTTGGTCTCACTAAATCAGAAGAGAGTATACTTCTGTGCTGGCAACTCTACAATTGCAGAGTTTGATTTTTTAAAACTAACTGTTTTAGGAGATTTTAGACAATTAAAAGGATGTTTAAAAGTAAGTTAACATTGAAAACAAAAGAACAAATTCATAACACAGGGTTTTTTGGCCCAATAAGTTTAGAGAAAACGCGTGCAGTTGGCAAGATCTCACTCTGGGTGCCACTCACCTTCTGACTCCACTGCCAAGTGCTGACTCTCTGCCCGTCCCACAGCCAGACTAGCGAAGGGCCTTACCTTTTCTGCTGGGTAGACCTCAAGTGTATCACATACACATACAGAACTCAACCAGGATAGCTGGTGACTTTCCTCAGAAAGGGCAGTGGCTATGCTAGGTCCTCATGGTGGAATGGACTCCTCTCTAATAATAAAAAAAACAACAGAAAACATTTCACATTCATTATCTGATCTAAGCCACACAAAATCCAGCCTTTAGTGTCTCCATGTCCTTATTTGCTATTCATGTATCTCTTTGGTGTAGAATCCATTCAAATATATCACCCATTGAGAGGGGGTGTATTATTTTCTTATTGTTGAGTTTTGAGAGTATTTTAAAAAATATATTCTGGATACAAGTCCTTTATCAGATATGTGATTGGCAATTGTTTTCTCCCAGTCAGTGCATGGTCTCTGCATTTTTAAAGAATATTTTATGAACAAATCCCTGCATCAGATGTATCTGAGGACCTTAAAGTGCCTAATCACACCCAAAGTGCCTAAATATCAACTTTGTTAACTGCATAAACTATCATACAAATGTACGCTGATGTTATCCTATAATCTGTATGTTTAAATGGTTGGGCAATATTTATGTATTAAATGTAACCCAGATGTTTGCCAGGGCCTCCTAACCGCTTACGAGCTAGATAAAACCGGTCCTTCTCCAATCAGTGTCTCTGGAGGCACCACGTCCTCTTCCTGATGTCCTTGGATTCCTAAGGTGGGACCTGGGAATGTGGCTCTGTTGTAACGACTCTGCCTTCTGTCCCCACTAATTTGGTTCATGAATAGAAATCTGGAAACCCTATGCCTGTTTCTTTATACTATTTCAAATACAGGCCTGGATACTTGCTATGATTTCCACATGCACAGGGACTCTGTGTGGGGAACCATCTCTGACAGGGGCAGAGATGTTGATCATGCTCTGTTGACCGTGACTGTTAGCTATATTTATAAGAAATATTAATCATGTTCTGTCAACTGTAATTGTTCTGTTCTAATTAGACGAAGCACTTTCTAATCTGGCTGAGAGTTGTAAGCCCAGGACCCAGGAATTACCCTTGGAATGCAGTCCATTCTCCTTTTCCAAAACCACCCATCATCGTGGAAAGATTAACAGCCTTGTTCCCAAAACAATGGAATCCCGAGGCTCCCGCCCTTTGCGACCCCCAGCCCACGTTGCTTGTAACCCGTTAGCATTATATCTTGCCTACTTCCCCATGCCTGTAATTCCTACTTTCCCACGTGATCTTTGTCCTTCTACCCAATATAAGGATCTGGCTTATGGGGCGGTGGGGGCGGCAGAGCAGATTTTCGTGGATGACTCTTACTGCTCTCCCATACTGCAGGCAACGTTGGAATAAATGCTCATATATGATTCAACCCTGTTTCTGCTTAATTGGCTGAAGTAGTCACAGGCAGCCTGGACCCACTGTTGTCTGGTTTCATCTCTACCGAGGGTTTGGAAGAGATGGAGGAGAGGCTTTCATCCCATCATTACACATAATTTCAAGTTGCATGTGAGACATTCTTGTTCTTAAAAGTCCTTTATTCACCCCCACCAGACATTTTTCACTGCTGTTCTTTTCTACAGAACATCCCACTCCAGACCATCTGGTGAGTTTCTCTCTATCTCTTTCCTCCTCAGAAACAGACACACAAATACAAGCTATTGGTGTTGTGCTGCCTTTTGTGTTACTACACCTACAACAGTCGATACTTTTCTAAGCAATGAGTGCTCTCTTTGCAAGGTATTCTGGTGCCAAAATAAATTAATAAATGACACCCTCATATGTAGCTATCTGTTTAGCATATGCAAATACACATGCACTTTGGGTTAGTCTCCCTCATCCTTATTGAAATTATTAATTATCACTTGCTTGTCCCCTACGGGTGAAGAACATACTTCTGGTAACCTGGATGGGCCGACAAGTTCAACTGTGGCACAATTATAATTCAAAAGAAGAAACCTCTCCTCTGCCCGGGCCCCAGCACACATGAAGGGCAGGCCTGTCCAGGGCTGCCCCAGCCTCTCGGGTGCTGGGCCAGTTCAGCACTTTGGCCCAGAAAAGATGATGGGCCTTTGGAACCCATTGTGGAGAGAGACCTCTTTAGCATCCTCTTGATTTTTCTAGCATCTGCCTCTTACCCTGCATCTATGCGCCAATCTTGTCTTTGACTCCCAGGCAAAAGGAAGTACAGCTGTGGGGTCATAAAGAGTGAAGAATTGGAGGGAAGAGAAGATTTATTGCTTTACAGGGACCTTGGCTGATTTGGGATGATGGCCACAGACCCACAAGGATGGTGCTTCTTGGTTCCACAGCCAGTGTGTTACCAGCCTGGAGTCAGAAGGGGGAGCCCCAAGGTCATTGCCTGCACAGTACTTAGTGTTTTCTCTGAAATTCCTGACTGACAGGCTTCTTCCCCGAAAGGCTCTGAAAGGGAACTCTGACTTCTGCTCTAGGAGAAAATGCCTAGATACAAATACAGTTTAATACGATTCTTCCCTTTGGACCTTTTTAAAACCTCCACTCACTAGCTATGTGAGCTTGGGGCAGTTACTAAACCTCTTTGAGACTTAGTTTCCTGACCTGTAAAATAGCAATAATGTAATTTTACCTACCTGAGGGGTGCTTGTGGGGAAGACTAAACCCAATTACATGCATAAGAGCTCAGCACAGTACCTAGCTGACAGCTGCTCATCATAACAGGAACAGTCATAATAACCTAAAAAACCAAGGGGTTCAGTACAAAGACAGAAATCCAGCATCCTGGTTTTTCACTTGGCCTGAAACAACTTTATCTGCTGCTCCTGCTTAGGATTTGACTTTAGGGAGTATGTGGACCCAGAGACGCAGAGAAGCAAGAAAATCAGGTAGAATTTTCCTGAAATTCTATATAAACAAGGAAGGGGAGATCAGGAGCAGACTTGCTTTTCTAACAAAACAAAACAAAACAAAACAAAACAAAACAAAACAAAACAAAACAAAACAAAACAAAACAAAAGGGACAAAACCCCCAATTTTCTATGTGGCTTCCTTGAATTTTAAATTCCTCGAAGACCGAGGCCAGCACTACTCTGCAGGCATATTCCAGCAAGAACATCTAATAGGCGCCCTGTAATTTTCAATGTAGGTAGTTACAGAAATCAAGTTGAAATAAAAACTGCCATGTTGACTTTGTTTCAAAAAATTTATTTTTAAGGTAAAAGTGTAAATAAATTAAAAAATTAAATTAATAAATAATTAAAAAATTCAAAAGTCTTTAGCTGTCCTTTCAAAGGCAGTGCATTAGCTGTCAGTCAGTCAAAGAGTCACCGGTTGAATGCCTGAAGTCACGGCGAGCATTGCTGGTCCCCAGAGGCAGTCACTGTGAGCACTGTTAATTCCCAGAGGCACAGGCTGAGGGATCTTCAGTTTTGGAGGCAATCTGTCAGCCTGTTAAGGAAGGAAATGTTCCTGAGGATTTCCCTTTGGACTACCGTCCAGGCACATCTGCTGTATGACTGGGCCTTCAGGTACTGTACTATCCTCGAGTAATAGGCCTCTAGGCGCCACTTAGGCACCGCTTCACCTTCCCAGGTGATGTTCCCCTCCTTCAGGGCTGTCTCCAGACGGTTCATCTGCCAGAAGAGTTTCTCCTGAAGGTTCTCAACAATGGTCTCATTCCAGCCAGTGCTAGAGAAATTTCTTGTGAAAATATCAAAGATCTTCAGGGCCATCCTTTGGATGATCAGCACGGCTTTCTCCTTCTGTAACTGCTGTGGCTGCTGAATCTCCTTAGGGGCCTGGAAGTCCTTGGTGATCATGCAGCTACTGTTCAGCTGCAACAGGAGCGTCCGACAGGCTACGTTGCTGCTTTTTTGGTGGAACTGAAGCAGGTCGTAGTTGATGGAGATAACGGTGGTGGAGAAGCACAGCAGGAGAGCGAGCTGGAGGATGCAGCTGTTGGCCATGACGAGGAGAGGAACAGCGTTGCCTGTACCACCTAGGCCCCGAGGCAGAGTCTTCAGGGTTCACGGCGTGAATGTCCTCTCTCCATGAGTGCCGGCTATTTATAAGGCCACCAGCCCTCACTAAGAGGAATTTCCCATTTTCAGTTCTCCTTTCCATTTTTCTTTTGTCATTTATACTTTTTTTAAAATTTTCTATTATAGTTGACATACAATATTTTATTAGTGTCAGGTGTACAAGATAGTAATTAGACATTTGTATACCTTACAAAGCCACCCCCCCTAAAATCTAGTACCCATCTGGCACCATGCATAGTTACTACATCATTATTGACTATTTCCCTCTGCTGTGCTTTCCATCTCTGTGACTATTTTATAACTGCCAATTTGTACTTCTTAATCCTTTCGCCTTTATCACACAGCCTCCCAATCCCTCTCCCGTCTGACAACCATCCATTTTTTCTCTGTATCTATGAGTTTGTTTCTGTTTTGTTTGTTTATTGATTTTGCTTTTTAGATTCTAAATATAAGTGAAATCATATGGTATTTGTCTTTCTCTGTCTGACTTATTTCACTCAGCATAATGCTTTATATCTGGGTCCATTCATATTGTCACAAATGGCAAGATTTCACTCCTTTTCATGGCTGAGTAATATTCCATTATGGATATATGTACCAAGACTTTTTTTTTTAATGTATCTTTATTGATTTCAGAGAGAGGAAAGGAGAGGGGAGAGAGAGAAACATCGGTGATGAGAGAGTCATTGATCAGCTGCCTCCTGCATGCCCCCGACTGGGGGTTGAGCCCACAACCAGGGCATGACTGGGAATCGAACCACCATCTCCTGGATCCTAGGTTGATGCCCAATAGCTGAGGCACTTTTTTATTCATTCATCTATCGAGGGCCGTTTGGGTTGCTTCCATATCTTGGCTATTGTAAATAATGCTGCAGTGAACATATGGGTGCATATATTTTTTTTGAATTAGTGTTTTAGATTTTTTTGAATCAATACCCAAACGTGGAATTTCTGAGTCATATGGTAGTTCTATTTTTAAATTTTCAAGGACCCACCATACCATTTTCCATAGTGGCTGCACCAACTTACAATCATATCAACAGTGCACAAGTGTTCCCCCTTCTCCAAAATCTTACCAACTCTTGTAGTTTGTTGATTTATTGACGGTAGTCATTCTGACAGGTGTGAGGTGATATCTTATTGTGGTTTTAATTTGTATTTCCCTTATGGTTAGTAATGTTGAGCATCATTTCACGTTTGTTGGCCATCTGTAAATTATCCTATCTCAATATTTCTGAGACCATTTTTTTTAGGATATAGTAACTAACTTCCATAAGAGAGGTATAATTTAAAAATCTAATTACAATTTTATATCATGCTTATATACTTAGGGAGACATGATATATCTTTAAAGATTTTAATAAAAAATAAAGTTATAAATAATAATTATGATATAAAGTAATAATTTTCAGTTTTCAGAAAATCTTCCATTATTTTTCAGTGTTAATTTACTGAAACCCCACTGTGTGCAAGGAACTGTAGCATGAGCTGCTGCAGGTTGTAATCCTCACTCTCATGGGTCATGCAGTTAAGTAAGGGAAAGAACATTAATCAAAGAAATACACAAGTGTAAAATGCAACGGTGGCAAGTGTTGCAGAGGAGAGGTTTGTGGTTGTGTGTTCCTAGAATATGGGAACATGACGTAGTAGGAGAGGTCAGAGAAGACTGCCCTGAGGTGGTCACACTGGAGCTGAAATTGGAAGGAAAGTAGATGGACTGCCTGTGCAAAGGCTCTGTGGTCAGAGAGTGGTGGTAAAGACTATAGGCCATGGTGATTAACCTTCAAGTCAAAGAATTGTCTAAGATTCGGCCAGAGGGCAGGTGGGAGCCAGATAGTCCAGGGACTATGAGACTGTGTTAAGTTTGTCTTTATCGAAAGGGTCGTAGAAGCCATAGAGGGTTTTAGGTGGGGTGGAGTAACTTGATTTGGTTTTAGGGGTAGGAAAAGACTCTCTCTACAGTAAGCAATAAGTAATGGAGGGAGAGCAGAATAAGTGCAGACAGAACAGTTAGGAGATTTACCAATATTTTAGACCAGGGAGTTAGTGGTGGAGAAAGATTAATTTATTTATGTGAATTCTCTCATTTCCCGACAATCCAGACTCAAATGCTTGAAGAAATTCTCCATCATTTTACAGATAGCTGCATTATTGGTTATGATGATTTCAATATGTTTAAATGTAGAGGGACATTACTTCTACTTGTACCAAATTGCAGTAGAGGCTGGAAGTATGTGGGTCAATGTGGATTTATAAACCTGGAGCAACCCTGAGCTCCAGGTTTCCCAGCATCACTAGATGTCCTGTCTTCTGATCTTTGTGATGTGCTCAACTTTATCTCCCGAATAGCCCTTCATTCCTATTCCTTCTTCATTGGCTGTATGTAATCAGCTCTCTCCAGAAATGACTATCTATGGGTGACGTCTGCGGTATTCCTAAAAAACTACTTGTGCTTGAATAGTGCTGATGCAATGCCTCCTAACTGGGGTGCAGAGGAAGCAATTTATCTTTCCTCCTCGTTGGGGGGCGTGGGAAAGACAGCAGTGTCATTCCTTCGCATGAGTGATGAGTACTGAGAGTTGAAAAGTGCAGCACGCCATCCTCATATGCCGGGCCGAGATTCTGGAAAGATGGCCATAGTGACAGTACGGCTTTGAATTTCCTTGAGTCCTCACACAAAACCAGACACTGCAGCTAGATAGAAACCACAACCCCATTTAGCATAAAACTTGGTGACATAAACCACAAACTGCAAGGAAATGAAGGCAAACCATCAACTGCCATAAGACCTGCCTGGTAGCACCGTCAATGTGGGAGAAAGCAGAGGAAAGCGATGGACCTGAGAACCGCAAAAACCAAGAGGTGTCTCCTGGAAAGCCATCCAGGCCAGTCGGAGAACAGCAGCTGAAACGAAGAGGGTTGGCCCAGGGCAAGCGCAGGTGGATGTGAGGGGCCTCCAGGAGCTCTGAAAGGCACAGGGACAGTCTAAGAGATGAGTAATTTCCAACCCAACAAGGCACAGCTTCCTCTCAGGAAAGGGCCTGACACTGAGGAGAGGCTGCTAGCAGAGAAATCAGGCCCGAGCCGGGCAGGGAAGCGACAGGGAGGAGGCAGGAGGAGAGCAGGCTAGGGCAGGGGGGCCGCGCAGGAGGCAGCGGCCATGCGTCTGAACACTTCTCAGAAGCGACAGAAGAGGGAGCTCGGCGACGTTAGGAAAAACACAGCGAGCCAGGGCAGGTTCCCGACAAAGCAGCTCCTGTGAAATCAAACGACAAAACGGAATTAAGGCTGAGTCTCCACAGACTTATTTTTAGAAAAAAAAAGAAGGAACAGGATAATATTTCTACAGATCATGAAAATATACCGGGAATACAGGCACATAAAACAGAACAAAATTTTAGCATAGTGTCTAATGAAGTTTAAAAGTTACATAAAACAACATAAATCAGAATGGTACATACTCAGAGGTGAAGTAATATCTGTAGAAAATAATTAGAAATAAAAGAAAAAACTCTAACTTTTGTTTAATGAGATACAGTCACAAGAAATGAGAAGTTTGGGGGGATTCTAGCACTGGAGAAAAGCCTCGATCTGGGAAAAAAGATTAGCAACTAGAATCCAACAGTCCATTAACAATAGTATATATTGACCGAGGGAGTTATTTTCAGGAAACGGAGGGTCGTTTCAATAGTGTATGGTCCATATAACATATGGAGCAGATTATAGTGTAAAATGAACAAAATCTAGAAAAAAATCTTGAAGATTTAAAAAAATAAGATTAGAGTAAGGAATATATAAAACCCAGGACGTGTAATAGAAAATATTCATTAATATGACCACAACCGAGCCTCTCTTGGAGGGGTGGGAATGTCCTTCAGCTACTCCTTGAGCCTCGCCTGCATAGCGTTAGGTTTCCCTTCGGGCACTCCCCGAACCAAAGCACCCGCACCTGCCCCAGTCAGTGCCAGCCGGTGGCGGGAACCTGGGGGACACAAGGGGCCCCTGCACCAGGCCTCAGGAGCCTTCCCCGAGCCACAGCCTCTGTCCGTGTGCTCCCTGGGTGCATCTCTCTGCCTTCCTTTCCCTGTTCCTCTCACCCTGATCTTAAACCTCTCCTCTGAATCTGCCTTGCCTCCTCTCTGATGTCCATCCTGAGGGGGGTGTTCAGCGCCAGAACCCCTCCTTGGGTGAGAAATCTTGCCATCTTATTAGGCCATTTGTTCAATGTTTCTCAATAAAGTTTTACTGTTAGTTTGATCGCATGTTGTACGTATTCTTCCTGAGGTGTATTCCAATGTATTTTATGGTTTATCATTGTTGCTGCAATAATGAATGAAATGATATTTTTCATTACAGTTTCTATTTTTGAATGAATAGGACTGACATTTCATTATATTTCATACCTATACACACACACATATACTATATATATGAAAACTACTAATTCTGGTTTTGTAGCCGGCCAACTTTTTAAACACTATGTTTAAAATTCTTTGTTAATAAGCCTGGTCTTTAGATAAACAAATACTTTGTATGCAAGTAAAAAAATTAAAGGACTAAAACTATTAAGCAGTTGCCTTTAGGGAGGAGGGATGGGATTATGTCCAAGGAGGGCACACAGAATGGTGCTTGGTGGTGAGGCTTCCAGAATGTTGCACAATTCGATTGTTTTTATTGGTTGGTGGTTACATGAATATTTGCTTCAATTATTTAATTATATTTAATTTTTAAAATGTAGTTAAAATTTATACTTCTGTTTTGTCCACTTTTGTATATGATCGTTACATTTGACAATAAAAAAATTAGTAAACAAGAGCCAAAGTTGTTACTGTTATCTAAATATTTTAGCTGATAATCCTGAACAAAGTCAACCAAAATGTATGTTTTCCCATCCTTTTTAGTATTCTAAATTATAATGAAAATAA